CGTCCTTGAATCGTGGTTTGACGGTATTGTCCAATGGTCTTGCCAGTATCGTCTTCGACATGCATGTACATCCGCCAATGTCTTTCACAACTAAGACTTTCAGCTTGTGCTTGTATTGGTTGCGCGCACCTTCCCCTCCTATGCTATTCCTATAACTTAGAACCTTCCAAGTTGGAAGGCTGGTGGAGTGCACATCCAAGACGTGCTAGAGCTGATTGGCAGTTTTTTTGTAGAACGTCAGTACCATTGGTCAGTGTCGTGCAATGTTATCGCATGAGCTGATTGTCAAGTAACTGGTGGTGCTGGTGGACATTATAGCGTAACTTGTAGTTCCTTGGTCCTTTTCTTTTCTATAAACCATGTCAAAGATGTTGATTTTCACGTGCTGGCGGGCAATCCGGCGTAAAACCATGGTTACTGTACAAATCACCGTACAAATCAACTGCTCCTGCTGCTAACGCTGAGTGTCAGAGGAATCATGTTGCTCGCTGCTAGCTCTATCTTCAGCAGGTGCAGGCGGGGTATCCGTTGAGCCACAGTGGAACCCAGACCTTAGGAATATCCACATGCTTGACCTGTGTTTACTTCATTTAGCCGTCTGCTGGCTAGATTGGTCCTATTTTCAGCTGGGTTTTTGCTGGGTTTTGCTACTCTTCGGTCTTTGATAAATCTGTCAATGGTGTAAGAAAGGGAAGCTTCTAGATCTTTATTCTCACAGTTTTTGTTTTTGTTGCTGCTGCTGCTGCTGTTGTTGTTGATGTTGTTGGTTCAAATCTTTATTCTCACGTTAGCCAGTGGCCAATAAGAGATAGTGTTGTTGTTGTTGTTGTTTCAAATCTTTATTCTCACGATTGCCTGTGGCCAATAAGAGATAAAGTGTGCAACAGGAGAAAAAGCGCGGAAAAGTTGGGTGGACGGGGATTAATGTGTACTTTTAAGGTTGTTGTTGTTGTTGTTGTCTGAAAAGTTTGCTTGTCAGTTCCTCAGCTTTTTGCTTGCCTATCTGTTTCTTTGCAGGCCTGTTCAGAGTCCATAATTGCCGAACATTGCAATATCGGTGAACGCTGCTCCATCAAGAAGTCCACGATTGGCCAGCACTGTAAGATCGGTGACAAAGTCAGAATCACGAACTCCATCATCATGGACCACGTCACAATCAAGGATAAGTGAGTTGCTGCAGCTGAGCCATACTGTCATAGTGTAGCACTTTGTCTACTTCTGTTTTCTTGTGTTGGTATGTCCAGCAATAGAGTCTGATAGTTAATTAAAAAGCCTTCGTTTGGCAACTCCCTATTACCAAGAGTAGATAAACAAGAGTGTGCAACTCCGGGATGGGTTGGCCCGCGGCGGAATTTCTTGTTGACGTAATCTTTTCGACGATGCACGTGCTGCGAGTCTTTTGGAAAGTTTTGCCTCGTGCACTTGGCCGGGCTTTACATTACAAAGTCGGTGCCCAGCACGTGCTCTCACACTGCTCTGGGGCAAAATGCGCGTTCTTCTGAAAAAAGTTGACGTCAACAAAAAATTCCGCGGGGGTATCTGGAGATTGTGCAGAAGAGATCCGGAGACGGACCGGAGTTGCACACTCTTGTTTATCTACTCTTGCTATTACTAAAGGGAGACCTGTATCCTGTGCTGGGCATCTCATGTGCATATCACTGGTGTCCAATGCTTCCTAATGCATGAGCTCAGAGTTGCAACACAATGTTCCCCACTTCTCTCTTTTGCTGATTGTGAAGTATGTGGACTATCAGAACAAAGCTGTTGGCTTTCCACTCGCAATGGGCAGGGCCATGCATTTGAGAAAGGCATGAATTCATCAAAACAAGTTTTTTTATGTATGATTGAAGGGGCTATGCAACTGTGTGTCAGTTGTTTTCCACAAGTTGCCCGAGGAACTGTGAATTTGTGCAAAAAAACAAGGATTCTGTTGGGGATCTGACTGTCCTGCAGATGATCCCTCGTGGTATTGCTCTCCTGAGCCGGATTGGAAGCTCTGTGCAATTGTTGTGATTCTACTTTGTTTGCTTGTTTTTCTATTGCTTGAACCAGCTGCAATTTGCACAACACCATCGTTTGTCCCAACGCCTATATCAATGACCAGTGTGTGCTAACGAATTGTCAGGTGGGAAAGAGGTTCACCATCGCCACTGCGAGTAAGTTTTTAAATCTACTTCTCTCCTACTGCATTGCCTGGTGTGCTGTGACTCCGTGAGCATTGCTGTCTCCCGCCGCTGGCTGGTGCAGAACTGGAAGTTTGTCTTGCTGGGTGTGCAAGAGTTAGCGGCTTCCTTCTTTGAATTACCGTTGTTTGCTGCATGCTATAGATAGTGCGTTGCCCCGGTGCAGCTGAAGCCGTTCTTGTCACTACTAGGCACATGTAGTGTGTTGCCCCTGTGAAGCCAAAGCCACTACTGCCAGTATAGTGTAATTTGAACATACTTCAGCAAACAGTTTGCCCCAGGATGGCCATGTCCTTATATTTTATAATAGTGTCGTGTCACTGGCCTTAGCTGACCGTGTTGATACCGTAAGGCTGTTCCGCGCCGCCCCGAAAGCTCCTTCATTTCTCACAAGTGTAATACCGATGCTGTGCACAAGTATGTGTGCATGTGGGTGTGCGTGTGTGTGCATGCACAGTATGTGTGTGGATGGGCGGGGGAGTGTAGACATGTGTGTGCATGTGGGTGTGTGTGGGGGGGGGGGGGGGGGGGTGAACATAATTGTGTCCATACTACTTATCTCAGTATATTCCTTTTCCTACACAGCGCTTCCAGCAAAGGCAGAACTAGGTATCAGATGTAACTCAAGTTTCGATCAGAAAGCTATCTTGGGCTACACTTTAAACAATGACACTACAAAAAATTGTAGGATCCTTGCATACTGCAGCTGATTTCCCTGTGCCCTATTGTTAGAATGGTTGCCCGAAGATTGGTTTTTTCGTCAAACTTTCGCTGCAGCTCAAACCTCATTCTGCTTTCTATGTTACATATTGCTCTTACTCAATGCTGCACTTCCTATCTCTGTCTGTCTCTCTGTGTCTCTGTCTGTGTGTGTGTCTCTCTCTTCTCTCTCTCTCTCTCTCTCTCTCTCTCTCTCTCTCTCTCTCTCTCTCTCTCTCTCTCTCTCTCTCTCTCTCTCTCTCTCTCTCTCTCTCTCTCTCATAACTTTTGGGCCTGGGACTGTGCATCGCATCTGGGCTGTCTGACTCATATTATTGGTTTTCATTGTTTCATCTTTGTGTGTGTGCGTGTGTCCGTCTGTATGTGTGTGTGTGTGCATGTGTGTGTGTGTGTGTGTTGTCCGTCTGCAGCGCAAGCAAAGAATGAGACTCTCTGTGGTGACCTACAGGGTTTCTAACTGCTCGCGATGTCTCTGGCATGACATGTAGGACTGTGCCTGGTATTTACGTTTACTACATTGCATGGCATTGGGAGCTGACACTGGTGGTGACGACGGTGAGGTCTAGCCCTGCTGGACGATTTTCTGTGACTGGGTGTCACATCTCCGCATGCTATCCTCTCAGCTGTTTTATGTCGTAGTTGTTGTAGATGGCGTTTGTCTTCGTTTTTGTTCTCCTGTTGCTCGTCTTTGTGGCTAGGCTGAATGTCATTGCTTGGGTCGCTGTTCCTCGTCGCTTCCCCGGTATGCTCTGCTGGCTTTTTTCATCTGTGTCGTTGGTTCTCACTGCTGTGTCGAAGACGCTTTGCCATAGTTCCATCTGGCTGGGATTTTGTTTTTGTTTTCGTACCATGCTGATCCTTCTTGCTTGCTAGCTCTGTGTCTGTCTGCTGTTGTTGTTTTTAAGTTACCAGTGTTAGTTTTTGTGTGTGCAAGTGTGAGAAAGCCTGATGGGCTTTGAGAGACCAACAGTTAATATTTTATACTGGGTGTCATTTTGTTTCACTCTCAGTCGTATCTGATACCTGTTCTATTTGATGTTCAGCAACCCATCGTGTGTCCATCTCAAGAAATTGTTCGTGAAGCTTTTCTTGCCAGTAGATTTTACTTGCAGTGGGAAAAAAAGAATGTGTGCATTTGGTTTGTGGTACGCCATGTGTGTGCGCGGCATCTTCCATCGACCAGCATTTGCCATCTTTCTCCTGTAGGCCTTTATCCAAAACAAACGGTCGGAAATCACTCGGCACTTCCACCACTCTGCACTATGTTACCTTCATGGGCCACCAGCTCCACTTGTGCAACTCCAATAACTATACTAAGTACAGACAAGGAGTGACCAATTTTTAGTATTGTTTATTGCCACGCCCTTCAGACGGCTGTTTTGTTCCATCAGAATGCGTCTGTGGCAGAGGACTCTTCAAGAGGATGGATGAATACTGCACGTAAAGGAAGGATGATTTGTTGGGTAGAACTGGTGCTATCATGCAAGTTCTATGTAGAAAACTGCCAACCTTCAGGCAGCCTAGGGAAGCTGACGCGATGAAGGTGGTAGCGAAAGGGCTCGACCGGTAACAGTTACTTGCATGCACGCCTATTGCCAGTATTGCCGTATTGCATATGTACATGTACAGTCCCACCTCAGTTATCGTAACACTTTTGGGTGAGCTCTTGAAAGGGGAAGTATGGTCTAGAATCGAAATGTCAATACTCGTAGTCTCCAGGGTGCTGAGTCGAATGGTCTTGGTACGAGGAAGCTGAGACGCTCCCTTCCTCCTTTATTCCCAATCAAACTCGCCACTTCCACCGACACTAAATGACTGCGCCCTACTAACATTAGATGGGGATCCGATTTATATGCAAAATGTCACTAAAACTGCCATTTCGTTTTTATAAAAACACGGATGAACGAGATTGGCCCATACCGGACGCTGTGTCGACTGGTTGTGGTCCGAGAAGGCTGCGATTTCGGCCCTTATTCCCAATCGAACATGGTTGTAGCCTGCCAGGCATTGTGACCAGGCACTCGTCATGTCACCTGGCACAAGGGTAGCATGGCCATGATTTCAGCCTTTGGCCTCAGCCTTGTTGGTGGATCTGTATGTTCTGTTGAAGCAGAAATTTAGTCGGTAAACCGCATTGTCCAGCTCCAAAGAAAGGCAATTCATCCAACCAAAACATTCGTCCACAGAACATGAAACACATTTGAAAGGCTGGACAAATTGCCGTTAGCCTATGGTACATGTACTTGGTTTAGTCCAAAAACTCCTTGGGAGGAAATGAGGAAATTAAATTTCGGATGGATACTTGAGTGCATATGACAGTCCCTCACCTCTAGGAGCTGCATGATGCCATCTGATTCTCAACTACGGCATGATGGCATCTCACGCATTTGGAAAGGTGTTTTTGACCGACTCAGTACGAGGATCTTTTACAGATCGGTCATCACGTAAAACTCAATTTATCTATTCAGTCCATATGAGAGCCAGAAGCTTCATTTGTGGAATAAGACATAAGAGCTACAATGTTCAGGCAATACAATCACACACATATGTACTCTGTATACTAAATGAACTGTGACGACTCGGTCGCTCGACTCGGTCACGGTCGTATACAGATGTGCTGCGCACTTCTTTGCGACTACTACTAGTACTCATAGTAACAGCTGAAGTCAACACATGTCCAGACCATGAGCAGCTAGTGTCCCTATTGTTGGTACAGTAGAGGCTAGCACATGTACATTGAGTGGATTCAGAAATCTCCGCTTTGTTTATCCACGTCTGCCGTCTCCACCCACTTCAGCAGTTCTTGTAAGTTGCGCACCGCCGTTTGCTTCTTCAAGGATGCTACGTTGTCTGGCGCCACCTGAGCATGAGGTTCGGACAATGCTTTGAGACAGTAGCACGCTTCCCAGCGCAGCTGCCGGCAGAGCTTGCTAGGGTTTTCGACAGCAGCCGTCTCCCCCTTGCTGTCTTGGAGTGCTTTACTGAGCGCCTGCCATTCTTCAACAAGCTCCCCGGCATGCTCAACACATCCTATACGCGAGAGATTGTAGCGCATAATCTTACCGTGCCTGCCATCCCGTTCTCGCTCCATAGCGTAGAATTCACCCGATGGCCCGCTTGATTGTGACAGCACCTCATTAATGGCTTCAAGATCTGCTGCACCGAGCTTAATCCGAGCGCTAGCCAGAACCTCCTCTGAGCGATGTGCTCCTTGTGAGCCGGGGATGCCAGCACCCCGCGGTAGACCAATAACGCACGAGGTCACACCGGGCTGCTGCAACACCCATGCCACGGCAACCTGCGCTATACTGGCGCTGCTGCTGCTGCCATCGTCAGCCCAAGCCACACAGCGGTCGGCGATGGAGCGCAAGACCGCCAGCAGACTCTGCACCAGCTGCCATGTGCCAAACTCGCGTGCCACCAGCAGATACTTGGTCAGAGAGCGTGTCTCTGCATCCATTGGTGCCGACCACTCTGCGGGTTCTGGCTTGCCAAGCCACCGATCAGAAAGAAGTCCTCCAGCCAGAGAGCCGTAGCAAAATACGGCCACTTGGCGGTCTGCGCATAGAGCCGTGAGGCCAGAAGAGATGACACGGCGGTCCAGCAGCGAGAGTTGTACCTGTGTCGACAACACGGGAGCACCAGTGTCCAGTATACGGCGTGTTGTTGCCGTGTCAAAGTTGGTCAGACCCACATGTCTCACCAGCTGCTCCCGTTCATCACTGCCACTAGCCAGGGCTGCCACCGCTTCAAACGCACCCATTAAATCACCCTGCTTGTAGTCCCACCAGCTAAATTGCACCAGGTCCAGCGGGCCCTCCTGCCGCAGGCGTCGGATGGAACGTCGCAGTGTTGCCTCAACGTATTGTGCATCGACAGAATTGAGCGTGTCGAAGTCCGCCACCAACTTTGTGTGAACACGTATCTTGGAACGCATCTCCGGAGTGCAGTGTTGCGCGGACGTGCGAAACTTTCCAATCAGTGTCTCAACGCCGGTGTAGATATCTCCACAGTCCAGTGTCGACATGCCCAGTGTGATGCGGCGCTGCAGACCAGCAAACGTCTCGTCATTGTCTAGCTGGCCGTGGTGCCCGGCTGATAGCTGCCAGCAGCCGGTGATGACTGGTCCGCTATGGCCCTTGTACGGGCCCGGGCCGTCAGTCTCTGGCACCGCCATTATTACTTATTGCGCACACCTCGAGCAGCTGAACAGTGAAATCTTTCGCTTCTCATGAACCGCGCCCACGCTCCACTGCACCGGCCCTCCAAACTTGAAAGTACATGTAGTTGAAAGAGCAGCATGCTATTACTAATAATAATATACTCACTGTACAATAGCGACTATTTCCCGTTTTTTGCGCCGCGCTGCATGTGCGCATGTAGCAGGAAGAACGGACACCGGTCGACACGAGTCGAGAGCTAGGCCAGTAGGGGGCTGGAGTAGACCAGGAGTCAAGTACTAGTACCGGTAAGTAGTTACACGGATTGTACAATCAAGCTAGCTCAAGAGCAAGGGAGCAGGTTTACCTTGTTTATAGACTTGTAATTGTATTATTTTTAATTTTTTATGGATCTATTCTACAGACTAAGAGAGTACAGTGGTCCCTCTATAATCCGGCACCATTTGTGCCACGAAAATCTGCTGGATTAGGGAGGGTGCTGGATTAACAAATCTGATTTACTGCTGCAATGTGCATGAAGAGGACATTTTGGCTACTGAAAATTGTGCTGGTTTATCGAGGGTGCTGGATTATAAAGTGCCGGATTAGAGAGGGACGACTGTACTACTACTCGTCATGATTGATGAATGATCTACGCCTAGCGCCTAGCCGCTATCGCCTACGTGTCGGGATCCCGCACCCGGGACCACTCAGGGCCGGGATCCCGCGGCCCGGGATCAGGAGCTTTCTCGATCACGTGCACAAGTAGATTCTGTTTGCTTTGGCTTCGGCCTTGGCTTGAGCACTTCGATTCGAAATAATTATAATTTTTTGAATGGTCGTACTAGATCGTCGAGTTCGAGTTTGATTCATTGAGTGTTTGTGACTGCTAGAAGGACAGGTGCATGTGGCCAGATCAAGGCGAGTATTCTGTTGTAAGCAAATGTCTGAACATAACCGTAGTAATTATTACTTGTAGGAAGTCACACAAGTAGTAACAGCTAGTTAGTTGGGTACCAGGTGTATGCCATCAGTCATCAGACTCATCACTAACTAGTTACAGGCAGTAAGCTATAGATCGGCTCAGTTCGTCACGGATTGCTGCCCAGCTCCAGACCTGATAGATGTCGATTGCAGGAGAGGACAGCCGGAGCTGGTCCCTGGTATGATCTTCAAGAGAGCTGCAACATTTACTACAGTTGCACCCGGAGGTTCGTTCAGTTAGTCCGGTGTCAAATCAAGACAGACTTAGTGATCACAATATGGCTGAGGCTGTGTCAACAGAGAAAGCGTCGTTCCTGGCTGGTGGTCTGAGGCGTACATTAGACTCTGTGACACTTGAGAATGGGATCATGGTCGTTGCTGGTTGGTTGTGCTACGCATTGGCCTTCTCCGCACTGTCTTGCGTCATACTGCCCTTCTTCAGGGTGACAAATGTCAGTTCGAGGTTGCGCTACTCCTTATCACTCAGGTAGGTACATGTACTACAGTACATTGTACTGGAGCAAGAGTACAGTCAGACCTCGCATAACCGCACACATCCGTTTTCCAGAAAAATATCCAGATAGGCGAGGGAACCGGATAATCGAACACACATACTGTATATGTGCATGGCATATGCTGGCATAGTGGGATGGTCTAAGATCATGATTGAGAAACAGAGGGTACCAGGTTCAAGTCCTGCTTGGAAGCGGAAGGATTTTTTCCAGCCGTGCTGCGACCCACAGTTAATTGGGAACTCGTGGCCTGGCACGAGGAAAACATGGATGCAGTGAATGGGATTTTCGGTCTTTGACCACTTGCTGGTGAGCTGATCTACTCACCTCCCACCGCTTTAGGAGCTGTATCTGCGCCTTGATCCTTGAAGGGTGGTGGCGTTCCTACGGATGCGGAAAGCCCGGCTTCCAGCCGAGTCTCACGCGAACCGTGAAAAAAAATGCTGTAAATCGGTAACCAACAATTTTCTACCGGATGGCGAGGGATCCGGATAAACGAGGACCGGATAAGCGAGGTCTGACTGTACATAGCAGACTCAGCGGAGGACGTTCAGGTTGGTTGTAACGCTGAGTTTCATGCCGTTAGGCAATCATCAGACAACGAAGCAAGTGTACATAACCCCCCAGAGTGTGCAACGCCTGATCCAGCTCTGCATGGAGTCTTGGTCGAGCGTAATCGGATCTTTCCGTCATAATACCGTACACATCTGAGGGGAATCCGGGGAGTCGCGGGTACTCTCGGATCAAAAACAACGGTGCCCTGCCTCGAGACCGGCCTTGTGCTGGTGTGGAGTGTACGCATGACATCAGAAGATTTGATTACGCTCGACCAAGACCCTATGCAGAGCTGGATCAGGCGTTGCACACTCTGGGGGTTATGTAGTCTTGATAGAAGCCTAGCTTGATAGGCTTATAAACATGTTTTTGACTTCGACCGCATGTTACAACTGAAGCAAGGACGCACAGTGCTCCTGACTACTTGTACAACCATAACCCACAACATCAACAACAATACCACCGGTACACCACCGACAACAACAAAAACAACAACAACAACTATTGGCGATGGTGCCATCGTGGGAATAAAGAATTCAAACAACAACACAATATCAGCAAAAAAAACAACACAAACAAATTCCAAAATCAACCACCGTCCCCTAGAATAAGGAGGGTCCGAACCGGGGTTTTTCCCCCATACGGTTCAAATGGTCGCAAGACCGGGACTACCAACCGGGTTATGGCTGACTGGTAGCCAGGAGCACTGTGCGTCCTCGCCTTGTAACATGCCGTCGAAGTCGAAAACATACTGTGGTGTGTTTTGTATGGATACATCTGCAGTTTTAGTGCAGCACAGTGTGCATCGCCTATGGCGTTGGTCTTTGATTTTGAGCATTTCATTACTATGTGCTGTACTTGTATAAGAGATATAATAATTATTGCAATGATCGATACTACATGTATGCAAGTGCGGTATCAAAAGACTCAGCGCACCGTGCACTGGCACACTACATACTTGGTGACGGCGTACACTGTAGATCCAGTGTTTATTGTGTACACATGCATGTACTAAATATTGCGACAGAGCTTTCGGCCATATTTTCAATTCATTGCATTCCCAACTCATCACAACCACGCGCTCTTCAGCCGAACCATACAGACACCAGCAAGGACACTTCCGTTGAGAGATAATAATTATTGCTCCACGCCTCTAGACAGCTGTTTCGCTCCCTGTCGGAGCTCATCAGTAGAGGATGATAATGATGATAATGGAGGAATGATCATTCTTATACACCAGAAATGGCGCAAGTGCGCGCTTTCCACATATATCAATGGCATATGCAAGCTGCTAAAATGGTAAAGTGTGAGAACAGCGATAAATAATCATAGTACGCGCTCATTGGTGGAGAAACACACCACACAGGCGACGAAAATCTTACGCGGAATACTGATGCCAAAGGAAAGTACATGTATGTTGTTTATTATTATGATGTTGCATGTGTGGTGTGTTTCTCCACCAATGAGCGCGTACTATGATTATTTATCGCTGTTCTCACACTTTACCATTTTAGCAGCTTGCATATGCCATTGATATATGTGGAAAGCGCGCACTTGCGCCATTTCTGGTGTAAAAGAATGATCATTCCTCCATTATCATCATTATCATCCTCTACTGATGAGCTCCGACAGGGAGCGAAACAGCTGTCTAGAGGCGTGGAGCAATAATTATTATCTCTCAACGGAAGTGTCCTTGCTGGTGTCTGTATGGTTCGGCTGAAGAGCGCGTGGTTGTGATGAGTTGGGAATGCAATGAACATGCATGTACGGTACATTTAAAGGATTGGGCATCGGATACTCTGACTTGTACGCAACATAAACACAGTTCTTTCTCTCAACAAAACCTCTCACACCACTTGAAATCACAATAGCTCTCTCCGATGCAAAATGTCCGTAACTACGAATCACATACATGTACATTTTGATGGGGAAAGGCCATAGATATGGTATGTGATGTCACTATTTCCACAAAAGTGACAAAAGAGTACCGTAAAATCCCGCCAGAGCGCCCCTATCTCCGCCACCCTTCGAGTAGGTCCAGGTTGGGAGGGGCGGATGGGCGAGTCCTACTTGCCGCATTCGGTACTACATGAAAACGTACTCACCCTACGAAAACTGTGCGTGTGTCTCATACACCGAGCAAAGGTCAAGAGCAGGAAGTCGTACAGACCCATCAAGACCCAGGGTTTGTGCGATCCCTGGTCAAGAGAGTGTGAACTGTTGCGTACATTTCCAACCGGGTCGAGCACGCGTCTGCAGTGCGGTACGGCATCACGCTTCACAGAGTCATACGAGGATTCTCACTTCCCTGACAAGAAGTCAGGGAGGGCGCATGGGAGAGACGGGGCGCTCGGGCGGGATTTTACGGTAGTAATATTTCCATTTCCCACTGAAACTCGCCCAAAGAGTACCCAGTAGAGCGAAGTGCCCGTAACTTCAGGGTCCGGATATCCAAGGGACCGTACTGTCTTGTATTAAAGCCGGTCTCGTATAGAAGCCTGTTTTGAATACGATCCTGATTTTCAAGATACACTGTCGGCACATAAGCCTGGTTTTAGTGTTGACATACATAGAAATACCTGTCTTGTATAGAAGCCTGTCTCATAGAGAAGCCTGCGAAATTTCCCCAAAAAAGTCTTATAAGCCGTGGCTTTTATACACGACAGTTCATGGTATGAGTGTAGTTAGTATGCTATGTTTTACCGGTTTTTTAAATGGTGTTGGCGTCTTTTCTGCAGCATTATCTCCGGCTGCTTTGCGTCCTACACAGCACTCCTGGGCATTGAGGCTGTGCTGAACTTGGGCAATGATTTTCTATATTCCACGTAAGTTCTCTTCGTACTGTGAGCTACTGCGATGCAAGAATATCCGCTACCACATATATAGCTAACTGAGTTGCTGCGACTTTGGCGGTAATTGTAGAAATGGGCAGCTTCTCCTGACTTTGGAGCTGCGCTCCCTGCTGACTGACTGGCACTTGACTGACTCACGATTGCTGGCTGGAGCACATGCGAAGCATATCGGACCTTCCACTTGGCAAACCTGCAAGAAAGCTCCGCTCCCAGCTGAATACACTGTGTTTCGGGGATTTCATCGGTCATCAGTTGAGCTTGAGTAGGCTAATGGAATTAGTGCTGCGCGAGCACTGCATTACATAGTGCTTTCCGAGCCAAAACATCATTAGAATTTAGATACCAGCTTACAGTGACGCACCGTTTCCTGCACGGCAAACACCTTCTGAGCACCAGGCAGCAGCGTGAGTCAGGGTTGCACATGGAGTTGTGAACACAGACACCGAGGGTCGTTGATAATTCACAACGCTGTGACTTCCGATCATGTGTCGCGCGCTGGACAACAATAATACAACTCGTGCATCTGCCTGATGCTCACGAGGTGTTTGTCATGCTGGAAATGGAGCGTCACTTCAAGTTGATATCTCTAGTGACATTCTGGCTGCGAGAGCACTACGTAATGCAGTGCTCTCGCAGCACTCATTAGCCTAATCAAGCTCAACTGATGACGGGTGAATTATCCGCAAACACTGTGAATTGAGCAGGGAGTGGTTCTTACTTGCAAGTTTGCCGACTGTACAGTCTGGTATTCTTCTTGTGTTCTCGGCTTCGAGTCCTGGTGAGGTTGGCATTTTTTTCTCTTCTCATGCAGTTCACTTCCCCGACTAGGCGATAGCGAATCTGTGGGCTTTCTTCTCGTGTTACTTTTGCCTCCGTGTCGGGTTTTATTTTCTGTGTGTATGTGTGCCTGTGTGTGTGTGTGTGCTTGCATGCACATATTCTGTTCTTCACAGATATCCACCGATTCTCATGTACGGCCGTTTTGGCTTCATCTATTTCACCTATGATATTGTTGCCATGTTCCTGGTCTACTCGGCGTCCGAGCATGCTGCTTCATTGTCTTGGCCGGCTTGTCTGAGGGCTCATCTGCTTCGTAGCTGTGATCTGGTCGTGCACCATTTAATCATGGGTTTTGTCATCATTCCATTTGCAATTGTAAGCTTTCTATGTTGAATGGTTTGATAGAGGGCATGTGGACGTGTGCACATACAGCACAGTGTGTAGAAGTAAACATCTAGAAGCGCTCACTTCCAAAACAGTCTGCTGTGCAAACAGAAATATCGCCGGTATTTGTTTTCGTCCATAGGGCTTTCAGACTAAATTAAAAGCGGGACTAAAGTCGACTGGCCTGGCCTTTTGGTTTGTCAGCCAGGTAAACTACCTACCTTTCTTTGGAGTGGGACTAAATTATTCACTGACTGAATTCTCTGCTTCTACAGTAGTATCTGTTTATGTGGCCATTACTTGCATTGTTCCCATTTGCTGTAGAATAATTCTGAACAGATCTGTAGGCCTCTAGCCTTGGTTTTTGCCAGTTTGTAGTTTGAACTGTCCACCTCTCCACACTGTGCTCTTGGCCCGCATTCACAACGCCATACTCCATAGCGAGGAAGTTCTTTCTTAGATAGATGCTCCCCATCCTCCAGACAGCTGTTTCCGCGGCTCATTGAAAGCTCCTCGGTGGAGGTATATAACGGATGAGTATGCTATGGCTGGGGAGTATGGTGTTGTGAACGTGGTGAGGTGGACAGTTCAAATTATTTTCAAATGGCCGAGTTCATCGCTACTTCTGAGTTGGTAGTTTCTTTGGATAATTTAGTCCTAACACTGCTTGCCGTGATTCTTCATTTTGCTTGATCATGATTCACGATGTCATGTACATGTATGTGTCACTGTGTGTATGTGTGTGTGTGTGTGTTTGCATGGCTGCGTGCATGCGTGTTTTCATGCCTGCGTGCTTGTGCGCACCTGCGCTTGTGTCTGTGCGTGCGTATCTGTTTCCGGCAGTTTTTCCTCAGGGACAAAGGCCACCTTGTTGTAGCTGTAGTAATTCTGCACGAGGCTAGTACTCCTTTCTTGAGCATGCACACATCTCTGAAAATGGTGAGTACAGTGCCAAATGAACATCAGTACACATGTTCTTTCTCTAATTTTTCTCTTTTCTACGTCAAACGCTTGTTCTCGCCCTTGCTTGGACAGGTCTCCCTCAAATCATTATCAAGGAACGGTGCCCTGGGTAGTGTTCATAAAGTACAAGAGAGAATGCGTGTGCATGGGTATTCGCTTTGCACGTTGCCCTGTGATCTTCAGTTACAATAGAGCCCACTCCCGCTGCCTGCTGTGCTACGGGTGTATGTTAGTGACAGGCGGTGGAGACCCGGCGTCACGGCGCTATCTTTTACCTCGCTTTGTGACGGAAAACGCAAAGCATTGTGCCAGCATGGGGCATTTGGCCACGTCCATTGCACTGGGTCTAGCGTCTAGGCTCTGCTCCGGGAGTGGATGCCAATGGAAATTAGAAGTGAATTACATGTGCAAGCAAGTGTAGAAAAATATGCATTAACGGCTGCTGGACTCTGACTCAACCAGACCTACATCTATTTTCATTATTCGATTGGTTTAGAGAGACTCCCGATATAGGTATCCATTTACCTCTGGAGGATCCGTAAATAAACAATACAATACAATACAATACTGCGCCACTTTCTGCCATCATATGCGTTTGTCAAAGCTCGGGAATATAATGCAGGCTTGCGTGGACCACGGGAAATGCACTCGTGTTTATGGAGCCACGGGCATTAGAGATCAGCTGTCTCTGGCACAAATTAATGGTGACATTCACGTGGCCATAAAAGCTAAACTTCTGATCTGTGCGCTGAGTCTTGATAGACGCACACACTTTTGAAAGTTCCGAACCGGTCGGTTTTGGAGCCGATCCAGTTGGGGACAATTTGCAATATCCTTGTCTCACGACTCAAGTTCCAGTCAGTGATCCCTGGATACAGTGATCCCTGGAGTTAGTGGTGCCTGGAATCAATGATCCCTGGAGTCAGTGATCTCTGGAGTAGATATGCAGGCAGTGAACCTACACAGATTCGGCAGATTCAATAATATAGAAGGGAATTACCTAAAGTAAGGCATGAATGACCATTTCAGAGGTGATCTTTGTAGTAGGAATCTCGGCCTTGTCCCATATGGTGCAGTGGTATGTGCAGTCGATTTCCAATCGAGAGGTTGCGGGTTCAATTCCAGACGGTTATGGTCGCACACGTCTTTCTTCTCTTTCTCATTCTCCTAGCTCTTCTTTCATTCTCCTGGGGGGTTACCAACAGCCAGTGTATGCCGGAGTATGTGGTGTGGTGGTGTGTGTGTGTTGAAAAAGAAAAAAGAAAAATAGGGATTCACTGGCCAGAAAAAAGTCACTTCAATCAGCTGTGTGGTGGATACTAGGCTAAAATTAGTGGTGGTCAATTCATCAGCCTTGTAAGCTGTTGAATGGTGTAATCCCAGCACAAGTTGCTATGTCTAACATAGCTGTTCGCTATCATTGCTTCCACGATGGGCATGTCTGAGTGTGTGTGTGTGTGTGTGTGTGTGTGTGTGTTCCAAGTCGTCGTCTTCGTGCGGTAGTTTGCTCCTCTCGCGGGCTTGCAAAGATGTTCAAATATTTGAAAGATTTTCTTATCGTCGGAAACGATTCCTCTCACGGCGGCCGTTCGAACTGGTCCATCACTCTCCACAACAGAGCAAACATTCCATCAGCCAATGCTCAGAGTCGTTCCAGAATTGTTTCCGGTGATAAGCCAGATCCATAGCTGCTGGAGATGGCTCTCTCGAACGTGGTCCCGCTCGTCGTTCTATATTGTCGGCCCCGTAAGGGGACACGTGACCGTAATGGCAGTGTTTACCAGGACCAGGACCAGGTGTGTGTGTTTGATTGTCTGGCACTGGAAGTCCACAAGGTGATCTGCTGTGCACGTGTGCTTTTGTCTGTAATAAGCTGGCTTTGGAGCAGGCATGGATGGATGTGAGACTATCCACTCACCCATTATGAACTGAATATGACTGAATAACCGGGCGATGATTGTGGTCGAGCCTCAACTCATCAAAGAATATGGTTTTGTTGACTGGATGCGAAAATGGAAGTTGAATATCATTCTCTCGCTTTTTCCTTTTACTTTCCATGCTACAGCTGCAGAAGACCAACAACTGGCTGTTTATCTGCAATGGTGCAATGTTCATTGCTGCGTTTCTCATATTCCGCGTGTGCTCGTTCCCCTATCTCTACTGGCGCTACCAGCAGTATAGACAGATGTCAAGCCTCGTCCAAGTCGTGCTCTCCTTACCCTGGTACTGCAACGCGGGATCGTTCAGCATCGCCTCTCTGCAGTACTTCTGGTTTGTCAAGGTGGTAAGGAGCATTGTGCACACTGCTCGCGCCGGCGGCGATAAGGGCAAGGCCAAGCCAGCGTAGGTGTGCGGGCTGGGTCGTTCCGGTTGTGCTTTGCGTCGACTAGTTGAATATTCCGGTAAGGTATTGGTTGTCTGTTAGCCAATATCACCATCACCACCACCACCACTATAACCGCGGCTTTACCCTGCAGTGACAGATACTGCTTGTATAAAACGATGGTATCCACGGCCGTGACTGGCCCTGGTGGTGTGTACGTAGAGCTTACAATGATAGCTCACATTTTTGGTGCGTCCATGGAGCTATGAAGGCGAGACCTCTGGTCGGCGGAGCTTAATGGGCCCCACCACCACACTCCATTATTCACCCCAGTGTCTGGAGATATGTGGATTTTGTAGAGAAAAAAAAGAAGAAAAACACCAGTACAACCTGTAGATATTTCCTCATGTTGAATGAAGCAACAACAACAGCTACCTATTGGCTTACTGTTCAGCCGGAATCTACACATCAGCTTTAAATTCGTTCCAAAGCTTCCTGTCTGCCGTCCGTTTGTTTTACGCAGTACTGGTATTCTATTTAAAACTAATGACGGCACAAGGAAAAACAGTCGGCTGACTGAGCCGGTCTTCTCTGCGGAATCTCAGTATGTGGTTATGCCAACCTCCGACCAAGTCAATGGAACAGTACGACTTTGGATAGATTAGTGAAGTTTTCAAAACCAGTGTTAATTTTTAAAAAGGACTGTTCTATCCGGTTCTTCACCATCAGGGTTTATGAAGCACTATTTGCAATCTCGTTAGCATGCTGACAGCAAGAGTGTACATGTATGTGCACAAGATTTGCATGATCTTATGTACCACTGCTCTTGTTTTATGATCTCTAACTCCATACGTAATGACTCCATATGGTACTGGTGAGCTTCTTCCGATATTTAATATTATAAAAATACAGCATCTTACCCCCTCCAGTTAGAAGCCTCTGCCATACTCGACACAAACACACACTCAGACTCAGACATGCCCATTGCGGAAGCGATGGTAGCGAACAGCTATGTTAGACATAGCAACTTGTCCTGGGATTACACCATTCAACAGCTTGTAAGGCTGATGAATTGACCGCCACTAATTTGAGCCTGGTCTACACCACACAGCTGATTGAAGTGGCTTTTTCTGGCCAGTGAATCCCTATTTTTCATTTTTCCCCCGTGCATGCGTGCATGATGTCATTGAAATCAAAACGCGGCGCAAGGTTTGAAGCGCGGGTAGAATTTCGTTGGCCACACCTGCAGTGCATTATTGTGCGTGTACAAGCATACTACCGTATTGGTACCAGCTGCTGGCAGCTGTGTACCAATACGGGCGTTGTATGTAGTATTTACCAACCCGTGCTGTTTTGCAGACCCCGAGACGGCAGGAACCACCGGCCTATCCACTTGTGGACTACACCCATCCCGTGTGGCAAGCAGAGACACACCGGCAGCCACACACACACCTACAACTACCAGTATAAACAAAGACTGTTTGTATCGATAGGCTTCCCAGCCCCGGACTAGAGTCACACTCACAGTCTTCCCCATGCCAGCACAACCATGTACGGTAAAACCTGTCAAGGCAACCACTCTGATAAGGCGACCATCTCTCCCAGAAGACCACTACAACTGAACTAGCCAAAGGGATGTACTTCCAGTAGGCCTGGGCGGATAATGCTAGTTACTTTGCGGGATAATGCTAATGGCAATGCCAGAAAACTGTATCATAATGCTACTTATAATGCTGCTGTTCCTCTGTAATGCCAGCAATTCACCAGTAGTAAATATGGAAAAATGGCTTGGTTTGGGCAGTATTGTGCATGTTTCGTAGTTCTACGTAGACGGCATGGAAAATGCTAGAAAATCATGATCATAATACATATGTACTAGTTTCATGCTGCTATTGCTCCATAATGCCAGCAAAACCGCAATAGTATGCATGGAAAATGGCTTAGTTTGGACAATCCTATGCAGGTTGTGCAGTTCTATGTACAAGGCATGTAACGGTCCATTTTTTGTAGTGGCCAAAACTTCCATATTTGAGTATAATGCCACTTTTGTGGAAATGTAGTGTCATAATGCTAGTGTAGCGTTGGCACGCTTGTAACTGTTACTCACACAGCTGCAGCGTGAATCACGTCTTCAATGTATTGGTCACGCGTGTTACACCGCACCCGTACCCCGCACTTGCAACTCTGTACCGTGCTTGCAGATCCATGACATGCATAGTAACTAGTCTCACTGCGTTCAATGTTTCATATTGACCTTAGAAATACTAGTCTAGACCTTTTGCTGCACTTTCAACCACCTCTTTTACGCCCATTGCCCACACTGCTATTCAGCTCCTTCTGCATAGAATCAAATGGCATTCCTTGTGCAATGACTGTGGCCCACACATCTTACTTTGACCTTTCTGTTTCTACTCTACGTATCCCCTGGTCATAGCTTGGCTTGGCTTACTTACACTAACAGTTCCACACCCTATAAAAGCTGCTGTTCACAATTCTCTTCATGTCAGTTTTAGAGTTAGAGTCAGAGTTAATGTTTACAATGTAGTCTTCCGTTTAGTTCAGTAATAATTTTAAAGCCGTGTGTTCACTGAGACCCGTCTGCATTTGCCTCAGAGAGAGAGAGAGAGACTGCGGCCCGCTACACTAGCATAATGCTCGTTGCAAATCGCACACTATATTCTATAATGCTACTTACATGACTGTATAGTTATAATGCTAGCATCATCCGCCCAGGCCAGGCCGAACTACTTACTTCCAGTCAATAAATGACCCAGTACAGTGTACAATCATGGGCATGAACCATACTGTACCAAGAGCACCGGTACATACATGAACCATACTGTACCAAGAGCACCGGTACATACATGAACCATACTGTACCAAGAGCACCGGTACATACATGAACCATACTGTACCAAGAGCACCGGTACATACATGAACCATACTGTACCAAGAGCACCGGTACATACATGAACCATACTGTACCAAGAGCACCGGTACATACATGAACCATACTGTACCAAGAGCACCGGTACATACATGAACCATACTGTACCAAGAGCACCGGTACATACATGAACCATACTGTACCAAGAGCACCGGTACATACATGAACCATACTGTACCAAGAGCACCGGTACATACATGAACCATACTGTACCAAGAGCACCGGTACATACATGAACCATACTGTACCAAGAGCACCGGTACATACATGAACCATACTGTACCAAGAGCACCGGTACATACATGAACCATACTGTACCAAGAGCACCGGTACATACATGAACCATACTGTACCAAGAGCACCGGTACATACATGAACCATACTGTACCAAGAGCACCGGTACAAACATGAACCATACTGTACCAAGAGCACCGGTACATACATGAACCATACTGTACCAAGAGCACTGGTACATACATGAACCATACTGTACCAAGAGCACCGGTACATACATGAACCATACTGTACCAAGAGCACCGGTACATACATGAACCATACTGTACCAAGAGCACCGGTACATACATGAACCATACTGTACCAAGAGCACCGGTACAAACATGAACCATACTGTACCAAGAGCACCGGTACATACATGAACCATACTGTACCAAGAGCACCGGTACATACATGAACCATACTGTACCAAGAGCACCGGTACATACATGAACCATACTGTACCAAGAGCACCGGTACATACATGAACCATACTGTACCAAGAGCACCGGTACATACATGAACCATACTGTACCAAGAGCACCGGTACATACATGAACCATACTGTACCAAGAGCACCGGTACATACATGAACCATACTGTACCAAGAGCACCGGTACATACATGAACCATACTGTACCAAGAGCACCGGTACATACATGAACCATACTGTACCAAGAGCACCGGTACATACATGAACCATACTGTACCAAGAGCACCGGTACATACATGAACCATACTGTACCAAGAGCACCGGTACATACATGAACCATACTGTACCAAGAGCACTGGTACATACATGAACCATACTGTACCAAGAGCACCGGTACATACATGAACCATACTGTACCAAGAGCACCGGTACATACATGAACCATACTGTACCAAGAGCACCGGTACAAACATGAACCATACTGTACCAAGAGCACTGGTACATACATGTAAATCTCTCAGTCTTATTTTACTCTTGCCTGGGGGGGGGGGGGGGCTTGGTACGACAAGAAAAATCGGAAAATGTATTGCAATCAGCAACATGTAACAACAATAATGGACAACGACTACTAGTACATAGGACAAAGACTTGTACTACATGTAGGGGGGGGGGGGTAGCTTTACTAGTGACTGTACAATGTCATGTACTCATTGAATGATGCCACTGACACAACACACAGTGACACACGTACACGTCACACAGGCATGGCATGATGACTGATGAGCCCTGTGCAAGCTAGGCTTGGCACGCACTGGACGGGATATCCCCCCATGCAGTCCGGACTCCGAAACCGATATGTAAAGAATATCTCATGAGTACGAGGGTGATACCGGCGAATATCAATCCCGACTGCGAAGCAGAAGGGATTGATATGAGGGTACGGTATCACCCGAGCTACGAGGGTGATATTCTACTTATCACATATGACCCTACACCATGTACACACCCAGGGCCTGCTCTAGACATTCAACACAGCCCGGTCAGAGTGTACCTGGTGCATGCAGGCCAGCCGGGTCAGATCATCCGGCAGAAAAACAACTAAAAAGCCTGCTCAAAACGCAGGAAAATAGAAAGGCGAATTTATTACCGGAAATCGTTTAGGGCATGTTCGATTGTACGAATCCATCAGCCCCGGACCCGGATTCGCCAAATTTGTGCATGTTCGATTGTACGAATCCGGATCCCGAGAGCACGGATTCGGATCCAGTCAACCCACCTCCCAGAGACGGATTCGACGGATTCGACGGATTCATTTCGATAGTACGACTCGTATCTACTCAAAACTCGCAATATGCGTACACTAGGTCAAGAGTTTACCACAACGCGTACAGATACTACGGGATGAGCTGTAGCAACGCGGTTGCTAAGGCCTTGAAACGGATTATCGGTTGTGCACATTCGATTGTATCCGTCCGATCGAAGTGATCTGGTCGGCGGGGATCGGGATCCAGTTTCTACAATCGAATGCAGCCTTAGAGAACAACAAGGCGAACTATCAAAGTCTGCAAATGTAGAAGGTAAACGACATTACGTGAAGAATGCAAAGCAGTTCCATTGGATTCTGATTTAACAATTTGAAAAATTGGAATTCTGTTTTCTAATTAGTGCTAGTAGCAGGACGAACATGTTCACATAATAGAGCACTGCAGCACCCAGGAGCCGAGCAGCATGCCGATAATTCGAAGCAGTGAGTTCTTACCTCTCAACCACGCATCGCGAGCAAATCCACCGCCGCTCGTGTTCCCGGAACACGAGCGGCGGTGGATTTCCAAAGTTTTTTTTTTAAATTTCGGCCAGTCTTGCACAAAGCACATGACATGGATAGACTGGCATGCTCGTATTCCAGCCAGGGTCGACCTTTCTTCCAAGAGTCTTGGAAAGCGTGAGTTCTTTTTCTCTTCGCTGCGAGCTCCATCGTCCAAATCACCAGTCGGATGAATGCAACTGTGTCAAAAGCTATAGCCAAAGTAATAGATACGCTTTTGACTGCATGACTGCCCCATCGACTTTGAATGTCCTGACTTCCTGCTCGCCGCTGGCCAGATCGCGCTGGAACCAGTTGACCCCAGTTGACCCTAGCCGAGTCTGTCGCTTGTAGACTGTAGTGTGTACCATGGTGTACGGTTGCGCTACAGATGGGGTCCGCGAGTCGGGAAATACCGGTATTTTAGGAATCCATTGTCAGTTTGAGACATTTTTCAGCCGGGTCAGACTGGACCCGGTGTTATCTATTCAGCCAGGTCGTGCAGTTCCCCAGCCGGGCGCGTGACCCGGCTGACCCGGCTCTCCAGCAGGCCCTGACACCATGTGTCTTCTTATCACATATGACCCTACACACCATGTGTCTTATCCCATATGACCCTACACACCATGTGCACCGTACTTCATGCTCTTCCTGCTACACAACTACATTGCCACAGTAGAGTTTAGTTTGAACTTAGGTAAAGCATAGGGTAGGAAGGAAAAGTATAGAGGAGTGGAAATAGAAGAGTTGATTGAAATGGAGTATTGTAAATTGTAAATGGAACACTGCATTGCAGAAACGAGCCAACTTCAGCGCAGTTCCTTCACATCGTTCACATGTATGTGAACGGCACCACTGAAGTTGCCAGAGAATATGAATTTTGCGCTATTCTCCGACGTCACCGTTGATGAACTGGTAGTGACAGAAGCTGACGGGGGAGGTGCCTGAGGCTCTTCCAAGGCCTGCAGTTCCTCCGGAGTCGCGCACTGCAGTGCTTCATCAATGGCGTCTACGTCCAACAGGTGAGCAGTTTTCATCTTGTCATGCTCGCTTGGCTGCAAGTACGAGTCTAGGCTTTGGGCATTCCGATGGCCGGAAGTACGCATGATTGTAGTGGCACTCACATTTTGCTTAGCCAAGGTCGTAATGGCGGTGGCGCGCACACTGTGGTTGGTGTAGATCTGGCTTAGTCGCGCTGTTTCGCTCATCTTCTTCATCATGCCATCGATTTTGTTTTTACCAAACACTTGGCCTGTGTACCATTCTGCATCCTCTGGCTGGTAATGTTTGCGTGGTATCTGAAAGAGTCGCTTGGACTTCACAGACAACTTTGAAGTGAGGAGTAGGACGGCTTCCACCTGCCAGTCGGACACTATCATCCCATCAGACACCGTGTCCTTTCCTTTAATGCCGCCTTGCTGGTTCTTCTGGGCGAATGCTGTGGCTAATGTGATGTATCTTTTGCCTTTGTCGTTGGTCTTCACATCCAGGTCGTCGGATGTTAGATACGCCTGAATCTCCGAACCACGCAGACAGAAGTGGTAAGTGATGACGAACCAGACAAGGTAGGTGAGGTGATCCGCATTTGTCTTCCAGTCACCGAGGTGCTTGTAGATCTTTTCTTTGTCGCTATCGGAGATGGGAGGCTTGTGCTGCGTTGGTGCTACCAGGCCGTCTTTCTTTAACTGCTTTAGGTAGCCATCAAGTACTTGGTTAGCCTCGATAAACTCACTATCAGTATAGAGATTGATGGTGCGCTTCAGCTCTTGCAGTTCACGGTGAATGGCACTCCGAAACTGCAGTAAGCTGTTCTTAGAATACGGCTGTTTGTTGACTTGACGGATTTCAACATAGGCATGCTTCAGGATAGATGCTAGATCAGTCGCTTGTATTGTTTTCAAGTCGCACGTTTTCTTGTTCTCCACACACCAAGTGTCAAAAACACGCATCCAGTTCTTAGTAGCTCGTTTGGTGTTTGCGGGAACACGACTTTCACGTATCCTATCCAGATCTGACTCAGACACTTGCACAAATCGCTTAACTCTTTCTTCACTGCTGTGCTGTTCTGACGAAACGCGCTTTTCAGTAGTGGTCTTTTCCACCACCTCACCAGTTGCTAACGTCGCAGTTGCTGTAGATGATAAAGAGAATCCTGACATGTTGGCTATTTCATCTGTAGATAAAAAGTTGAAGTAGTTGGAAGCGGCATCCAAAACTTCTGCATCTTCCAAGTCAATATCACTTGCACCCAAGTCAAAGCTAGCCATCTTACTGGTAAGAATACCGAAAGTGACCAGACCCAGAAGTATTGTCAAGTATTTGTGCTTTCTGTGTACGTGTGCACAAACCATGAGGGTCCTTGGCTCATTGTTCTAGGAACGGAATCAATGACTCCATTCTTGGTAAGTGTTTTCCTTGGTCATGTTGTATTTCCTGCAACTTAGGCGTACTATTCTCGGAATTGTTGTTTACTAACTTTTAGTATAAATTCCAATTCCTCTAAAGTGTACTATATTGCATTCCATATTTAGCATTTTGATTGCTCCTTCTAGCCCTATGTTTCAGGCTCTACTGAGCCTACCTGGCAGACCCCCCACCGCTTTCGCCAGCAAGGCCAAAGGGGCGGGGGGGGGGGGGGTAGGCGCGGGAGTAGGGCCTGTAGCGTAGGGCCTAGCAGGAACAATCAAGTGCTAAATATGGAGTGCATTTATAGTACGCTTTCGAGTATATGCGTACGGTGTACGCAGCAGGGGTGATATAGAGCAGCAGGGGTGATATGGGCTAGGCGGGGTGATATCGGCCTATATCACCCGCCTACGAAGGCCTCTGATTGGTTCAATCCATGGAAACCATCACCTGATATGTGATAACACAGGGTGACACCGAGATTCGGATAACCATGATAACCTGACTCCTGCCAGTCCTGGGATCCACGAACCGGTACTGAAATATTACATGTACGCTGTAGAAGGTCACCGGTCTACGGTGTATGATCGATCCTTGGTGACACCTGCGACGTGATGCTGGATTATGTGGATACTGTACATGTATGCAGACACTTCCTGCACACGGCTGCAGCCAGGAAACGCGAGCACTTGTACTCACTGGCTACACTGCACTGCTGCTGCGCTAGCACGGTTCCTTCCACTTCCAGTCAGTGAATCACTTCCTTGCCACTGGCACTTGACCAAAAATCAATCATGCTGATCATACAGCCCATACAGCCTACATGCAGCATAGTCATTGTTTTTCGATTTTGACAGTTACAAGGCGAGGACGCGTATTGGCATTGCTACTCTACTGTAGTCTGTAGTGTAGATCCTGACTACAAGTACAACTGACTGTCAAAATCGAAAACACCAAGCAAGGCTTCTGTGTACTGTATACTACTTTTAGTATTAGTAATTTAGTATTACTAATGCATAGTCATTGTACAGTACATGCACAGTCGATCTACCGGCGCCCCATGCATACAGTCAATCATAGCGGCAGCATACAGTATGTCTGTATGATACAGTCTACGCGCAGTCTACGCTGACAGCTAGCTGACTGCATGCCAGACTGGGTCACCACGTAACACTAACAGGCCAGGCGTCCAGTTGGACCAGATCACCTCCACCGTTACGTCGTCACCCGTGTCATCATTGTTTGGCCTTGCAGTTTTCTACTGAATGGAAACAGTAACTGGTTTTTAGTCAAATCTCGTGCCACTCTCTCTCTCTGTAGTAGCTCTCTCTCTCTCTCCCTCTCATCGCTACTTTACTCATCAGTTCATTGTAGCGTGATCGATTAGGAAAGCACTGTTTCCTTGCCCTGGGTTTTCCCTACAATAATGTACATAGGCCCTATCTGAGTACCTGCACCGGTCCGTAGCACCCGTGAGCTGATTCACCGCCGCCGATATTTTCCAGCGTCCGTTAGCACAGTACAGTGATTCTAGCCATAGTTTGTAGTTTGCCCAGCGCGGTCCTCTCAGAACACTACAATTTCAACGGCTTGGCAAGCCGACTGAGATAGTGAGAAACCGCTGTAGTAGTCGCTGCTGCTGTTGTGACTGCCAGCGCAGCGCAGGCTGTTCCCTTGCACAGCACATCACCAGTAACAGGGACCTAGGCCAGGGAGGCATCAGAGTTCAGAGTCACATTTGCAGCAGCAGCAGCAGCAGCAGCAGCGTTCTCGATATGGCCCGGTGGCTGTGCTACATTGCATTGGCTCTCGTTCTTACCTGTGGTAAGTAACAATACAATAGTTCCTTTCGTATCAGCTGAACTACGTCTACGAGACATGGCATAGAGTTTGTGCATACTAGTACACTGTAACTAATACTTACACTGAGTGTAACTGCACTTCCTTCCACCTGGCAGGATACGTCGAGTTATTTTCACTTTACATTTTTCGAGAGCTACGAGTATGAAACTGCACTGCACTGTGTAGCCTTGTCATCTCAGGCGCTTCGCACCGACTTTGGAGGTGGGGCGGCCATGGAAGGGGGGTCGGGGGTCCGCCCCCCCCCCGGAAAAATTTCAAAAATTGAAGCCAATTGCAAGCATTTCCGGGCATTTGGTGCCATTTCAGTGTACGGTAACTACAAATGAAAGACTTTTTGATTCTGCAAAAAACAAGAAGATGCTACGATCGGGGACAAACATTACCCTCCCCCCGGAAAAATTCAAAAATTGAAGCCAATTGCAAGCATTCCCAGGCATTTGGTGCCATTTCAGTGTACATGGACTTTTGATTCTGCAACAAACCACGATCGGGGACAAGGATTTGCCATGTTTGCGCTGAGATCATCGCGCTTTGTTGTAGTGTGCTAAAAAATAAAAATAAACAAACGGCCGAAAAAGTGGGGCGGCCATGGCCGCCCCGGCCGGTGCGGTTCCGACGCCCTTGCATCTTTCCAAACCGCAACACACAAACAGTCCTCGGCTGCTCCACGCAAACCGATCGGATACAGTCGACTCAGTCACAATCCGTTGTGTGGTG